AGATTATCGGTACTTACAGCTAGTATAAGAAACCAGCGTTCCTTAAAATGATCGGGAATGAAGCGGTACGTTGGCCACTCATGAACCCAGACTTCTCGAAGAATCTCCAGGATCGCTTACAAGAGATATGTAAGAACCTAAACTACGTGGTAGTGGTTTTGTCAACCCAAACACACAGACCATGGTTTAGAACGGGGAGGTTATCCCGAACTGTAGATCTTAGTATGGTATCGACACTGTTCTCTAACCTTCCTGGCCAATGAGAGACAACTGACATAACGTATCTGATGCGAGAGACAAGGTGTCAAGAAACTAATGAGATTGGGTTTTTTTAGAGAATATGATATTACATAGAGAGGGCCTAATGAAAAGATAACTATGTATATATAGAGAAATAAGATGACGAAACGTCGCGAGATAAAATGAAAAAAAAATTGTAAGTTTTTGTTCCCGCCCAAAATATGATACGTCACGATTAAGTTACACTTGGCGGCTGAGTTATGATTATTTTTATATTTAGGGTTTATGGTTTAGAATTTAGGATTATTGATTTAGGATTTAGGATTTAAGATTTTGGGTTTAGGTATTACTAGGAAATATAAGAAAGTACACACATTCAGTTGAAATTACATTGCATATAATTTATTTTATATGAATTAGACTCACAACTTATATCTACATGTAAGGTTTAAAGTAATTATAAGACAATATATACCTCAAGATCAAGATCAATTTTCTACTTGTAAATTCAATAAAACGGATGTTACAAAAAAAAAAGAAAAAAAATCAATAAAATGGACACATACAGTTGATTAATAATCACTTCATATTGAAATGAGGATCCTTAATAAGACTTTTTAAAGTATTTACATTACATTTTCCGATTTTAGCGTATGTTTGAGATATGGCTGAGTTATATGTTTACGTTACGACTAAGTTATCTAAATGACACGGTTGAGTTATATAAACATTTTCCGAGTTTTAGGGTATTTTGACGTATGGCTGAGTTACAAGTTTAGGACACGGCCGAGATACACAAACGATAAGATTAAACAATGGCTACATCAAAACACTAAATTATTACATATGAAACATAATTTATCTTATTAAAACAGAAATATTAGGTTGGACCTAACATTTATTTTGTAAGTTTTTAAATTAAATTAATATATATTTCTACTTTATAGTTAAAACATACATTAAATCACTAATATTCCTTTCTTTATACTACTATCCATATTTTTAAACAATATATTTATTTCTTTATACTACTATCCATATTTCTAAACAATATATTTGTTTTTTATACTACTATCCATGTTTCCAAACAATTTATTTATTTTTTTATACTATTATCCATGTTTCCAAACAACTCTAGAATCTATCTTATTAAAACAGAAACATTAGGTTGGACCTAACTTTATTTTTAAAAAAAATTAAATTAAATAAATCTTTCTACTTTAGAGTTAAACATACATTAAATTATTAATATTATTTTCTTTATACTACTATCCATGTTTCTAAACAATATATTTATTTCCTTATATTACTATCTATGTTTCCAAACAATATACTCATTTCTATATACTACTATCCATGTTTCAAAACAACACTATCATTAATCTTATGTCCAAACAATACAAAATATTAGATCTCACCTTTTTAATATTTTCACAATTTTATTTCAAATTATTTAGATAAATTAAAAAAATCAAATAATATATACAACAATGAAAAAAAACTTATTTTTACAGGTTTAAATATTACATATCATTTATCCATCGATTTAATCGGTTAGTCTCGGGTTTTAGTGATTATATAAATATGGATATTTTTAAGTTCAAAATTGAATTATCGGATCACCGGTTTAACCACGATCCGGGTTGAATTTAAAATATCGATTTAAATGGAAAAATTATTTTAAACACATAAATTATTTCAAATTACCACAATATTTGTTAGATTATTTATGAAAATTTTCATCATAAAATATACGTGCTTGCAAAGTTAAAACCAAAGTGAAGTTTGAATTTGATCTAACCTACAAAATAAAGGTTAAGGTCAAACTTTTTAGAAATTTGTATATTATTTTAAGAACTTTGGATATCTATTAATATCAGAAGTAATTAAACTCTCAATTTATTTTTTATTGCAAACTGTTAACTTTGAATTTGATTTTGCTTTTCGAACAAACGTACTGAATTAGTGTTTTCACTACACGGTTACATCTACATAATAAAATGCTTGATGTTATTGTTCTTTAAACATAAAATCGAATTGGACAAACTCAAAACTATATAAAATTAAATTATATAGAGTACATCCAAAAAAATAAATCCCCGCATCCGCGCAGGTCATGATCTAGTACTTTAAAAACTTAAACCATCTACAATACATATAATAACACAAACTAATTTATACATGTAGAGAAAATATATTATATCCAAATAATATATAACACAGATATAATCTACAAATTTGAAAATTTGAAAATTTGAAAATTGTATAGTATAAACTGAATAATTATCATATAAAAGTGAAAATTATGCTTTTTGCCAATTATCATATAAAAGTGAAAAGTGAAAACTTTTTATTTTGTAATTTCGGTTAATTCATTTTTTAGTTTATTTTAATTTATGCTTTTGCCAAATAACATATATAATAAAAAGGAAAAACGTAAAAAGTTTAACACGAATTTAAAAAAGATCTCTATAATATTATTTTAGAAGTCAGTTTTCTACGTGTCACGTTCACGTTAACTCTCACGATGGTTTATTACAGTGATACACTTAATGAATAAAAGTATTATATTTAAGTATTATTATTAACTTTTTTATTTTGTAATTTCTGTTGATTCATTTTTTAGTTTAGTTTAATGTATGCTTTTGCCAAATAACATATATAATAAAAAGGAAAAAAGTATAAAGTTTAAAACGAATTAAAAAAAGAAAATATAAGTATATATAAAATGATTTAAAAAAAAGGAAAGTTTACAAAATAGTAACTTTAAAACATATTTTTGAATAACATAAAATATAGTTTCAAAATAATAAACATACTTTATATATATCTATCTTTTTCCTAGATGAAAAGAAAAATATATTTGTATATAATGTGATTTCATAAAAGATAATTTTAATATTACAAAAAGAAATATTATTCCTTTAAAACATAGTTTTAATCAATATTTTATTTATATCTATCTATTTTCTTAGAGGACTACATAAAGTCATTAAGTAACATAAACATAGACTGATGATATATGTTTAATTGACAAACAATATTTATAACTAATATTATTGAAATATTAATTTATAGTTTCATAATATTTAGTTGACTATAAATATCTTATAATTACAGGAAAATATCTATAAATTATATTTACTTGTATACTATGATTACTGAAAAACAGTCACAATTTTTTGGTGCTTACTTTTAAAAGATATTAAAAAAAAAAACTAAAAATAGTTTTTTTATAGCGTATTTTGATCAAATAACTTGAAAATATCATTTTAAATCGTATAACACCATAATGAGGTAGAAACATTATGTTTTATCACTACTTAAAAAGTTCCTTAGTATTTAGTTAAAAATTTTATTTTAGTTTGTGGAACTTATAGATGCAACTCAATAATATTTTGATAGTTTGCATTTTAAATTTAAAATATAATTTATTTATTTTATTAAAAAATATTAATAAATAAAAATAATATATTATACAATTCTTTGGTAAAAATTAAATTTAGGCATAAGATTTCAGAATATTATATTTCTATTCATTTATGTAATTTTGAATCATAAACTCTTTTTTCACTCTAAGCACAATATGTATTAAGTTAGACATAATTTTATTAAAATATATTTACATATCTAAGACAACAACCAACTTAAATAAAAAAAAATTGGGAAATTAATCAAAATTTTAATATATTTTGAAAAAATATTATAGCTAAAGTAATTGAAATAGATGCAATCCAATGTACCTAATTGATAACTAAATCGATTGTTGACCCAAAAACAATCAAACCGGATAGATATAACATATCTAATATCATATGTGCAATTAAATAATATAATATTATTAATAGAAATTATATATTGATTTAAAAATTTAAATAAGTATCAAAAAGTTATTATAATTTATTTTTAAATATGTATACCCGTGCATGAGCACGGGAGAATCACCTAGTTTCTAGTAAATAAAAATTGATCAATATAAAAATAGTAAACAATCTATTCACTTTTTATTTAACATTTTAAGAATTTAGTTCTTTGTGATATGATAACAAAAATATTATGTAATAAAACTTGACATAATATTTGTGTCCCGTCAAATGATTTGTCTGGATCTGCCACTGCACATGTCTGTAGCTCCGTGCTTCAGGTTGATCCGGGAGGCGGGTTGTACAGCCTCAGTCTGTACAAGGACGTGACAATTCCAGGATTCTTATTGTGAAGTGGTTACGGCATATTATAGTTTGCCATTTTTAAGGATATTGTATTCAAAAGAGACAGAGATTGGCCAGACTGGAAATTCTTGTGGTTGCTGGCTGGCTATTGGCTATGGACGATACATGGACTACTTGGTTTTATATAACATGAGTTGTTACCAAGGAAGGCAATCTGATATTTCCGTGTATGGCTGGCTGAGAATAAATTGTGTTGGAAGCTGTTTTGTATGACAAAGATGCATTACTAGTTCAAGTGAGTGGACCATCTGTGCTACCATCTGTGCTAATTCAATAAAAGGTGATTGATCTCTTATCAGACTTTAAAATCAAACACGAAAAGACATCTGTTTTAAGCTTAAGCGAATAATTAAAACGGTAAAAGCCACACTTACTACTGTAGTTATAACCCAAGTAACGGTGACACCATTTGGGATATTTAAGTTTCACTTATCCCACAATTTAAGTAGCAAACACACATTTCCCAGACACTAGATGTCTCAAAATCTCATTACATATAAAAAAAGATCCAAGTTGCTGACAGGGGAGGTCTTAAGTGGTGCGTTTACGTCTGGTCACACACTTCTTTAGTCTAAAAATCTTGCGACTCGCCAATAGCAACTTCGGGATTTTCAGATCCCTGTAAAACATAACATATAAGCTACTCTATGACCAACACCCCATTATCATATCATATTCACAACCATAGTTACCTTAGACTATTCCTCTTCATTCCGGCCGTGTTACATCCCCAAAGGCATAGAGCAAGCCTACGGCAACGAGGCGATGATACTCTAAAATACTTTCTGTACCACTTGATAAGATCTTTCTTCTGGATGTTTTGTATTTCCGCAGTTTCTTTCGAGTAGGAATCAAATGTGTAGCTATAAAAGAGACACCACATGCATGACAAATGTTTACACCATATGATCTACGAAAATATCAGCTTCAATCTTAAAGAAGTATGCAAGTTACTTCAGAGTTTCGAACACTCTTACCGTTTGCTAACAATATCTTTCCATTGAGCATCTACGCCATCTTCCAACTTCAAAATCACACCGCTTTTGTAAGCTTCGAAAGTTTTGTCAGGAACATTTTCCTATAAGTAAAACAGCAAGTGAAATGATGTGACAAGCTAACAAAATAAATAACGAAATAGTAGTGTGTGTTTTTTTTCTGGTACGAACTTACCAACCGCTTTTGAATGGTATTTACGAAATAACATACTCGCTTCAAAAGATATATAGGATCATGGTTTGCAGAAATAACAGATATACTGAAACCGTTTACTCCACTAATCAAGTGAGGCGAGCAATCAACAATATAACCAAGCTGCTCCTCATGCCTTAGTTGATTGAATAGCATCTCACTTATGATACCATCAAAGAGATCTACCATTGCTTTCTTCCTCATTGATTTACCTTGTTCAGGACCGATTTGGAAGTAAATCTGCAAAAAAAAAAAAGGAAATGCATTCATGAGCAAGGAACATATTATATTATAGTTTTTCATTGACTTTCAACTCAATACACATTTCCTGTACCTTCAGCAAATTATTACTGTCAGACACCTTGACATTTCTTTTTATAAGTTTGGCCGGAAGAGGCAGTATGCGCATTTTGTGTCTAAGTTTGTTTGGGAGTGGCTCTACTTGCTGTGGAATTTGGAATATTTCCGAAATTTCCAATGCTTCAGTATATAACACATCACCATAGCATAGACCTTCGATGAATATCTGCAATAGCATTCAGCCAGTTACTCAATATGTCTAAATGAAACAACAGAGGTACCACTAAGAAGATTGCCTCATGCCTCATGCAAAATTCTCAATTACCTGAGAACGCATACGAGAAATGAATAGTAGAAGGTCAGGAAAAGAAATTTCCTTCAGCACCTGCAACTTCTTATATATGCCATAGAACTTTTTACATAGTATTTGGAGCATCATAGAGTCAGATCGGTCCAGAAGTGACATGTTCCTCAGATCATTCGTTGTTTTCTCTTTTATAATCTGACACAGAAACTAAATTTTAGTTTATGATTTCCATATCATATGCAAATCTTACAACAAGTATGGGTGATTTAGTGGTAAATCAATTAGACAAAGTAATATTAAAAAGATGTACGCACCTGAAAGCGTTTGGCTGTTGGTGAGAAACCCATGAGACTCGTCCAAATTTCCAATAACAAGAGATTGAGCTTCTCTCTATATCCAGAGACTTCCAAAAACAGTTGGTCACCACGTAGTGATATTGAAGAGTAAAGTTTAGCTTCATCGCTCTGCATACCAAGATATATAAATTCTCAGGTCATCATAGAAAGACAGCATACAAAAGCTTTTCTCTCACAAAACTAAATGCACTGACCTGGTCTAATATTTCGTTTAGTTCATCCTTAAGAAGTTCTGTAAATAGATCTGCCATCACATGATTCTCGACACTGCTATATCCATCCCTGAGATAGATGCGGAGGTGTGCATATGTTGATGGCGCTTCCTCACATTGGTGCCAGAGCCACATTTTTGGCATTCTCAGGATGAATACAGGATGAAGGTCCACATCGTCATGCACTCTTACATTGAAGGCATTTGGAATGAACTTGTTTTCACATGGAAAAAACAGAGAAGCATGTACTTGAGAGGTATTACTCCATGCTTCTTTATACTCAGGCGGTATCTTTTCTTCCATGTAGAAGGAGTTACACCACGGTTCAATTTTGAGATCTGCAGCAAAGAAGAAGATATGATAAGAGTACTCATCGTAAGAATATATAATGCAGGTCATAAATCTTTGTTGTACCTTTTCCATTGACTGATTTCGAAGCAAAATCAATCCTCATTCTTTCTGGAGTAAAATATTTCAACAGATCCAGAATTGCTTTGGAGTTCCAATTGCTAGAATAGTCTGCAACTATTACATGTGTCATTGGATAACGCAACATATTACCTATACAAATAGTAATGAGTTAGCTTGGAGAACTAAGATGCTTAACAATCATCAAAAGAGAATTGGCTAATTACATATAAAGAAGGAAGTGCAGACCTGAGAGAAGTGTAACAAATTCCTGTTGATCTAAATCCATCTCAAGAGAATCATAATCCATTTTCTTAATCTTCCAATACTCTTCCATGACCCATTTTTGTGGTTGCTTATCTTGTATCAGTTTGAAATACTCATATACATAACTAATAAGTTGATATCTCTGTAAAAAAACAGATTGTCAAATTAATGACAAAAATACAAGAAGTAAGTAACATATACCTAAATGTGTACCTTTTCTAAGCCAGAAAGAGTGAGATCCATAGAGATGATGAACATACGGCCTACTGATGTGCAATACCATCCTTCAAAACTCTCTTTGACTTGTAAAGAATTTGTCCACCCTTGGTCCTTGAAGAAGTTAGACAAGCTTCCTTTACCCTCTGAAAGCATTTAAAACTAGTTAATATCCTGCAAGAATCATAAGGAAGAACACAAAAAAATTCATAATATAAAACTCACGCTGAGCTAATAGTTGGAATAGATATTGTTCTGGCCTTTCCAAGTAACTGTTTTTGGATAGAGGAGGTAGAAGCCATGAGAGCTCAAGAATATGTCCATCTCCAGCAGCTTTCATCCCATATGATGTAGAAGTGTCCCATATTGTGTCTTTGGGGTTGAATGAAGGTATAGCTTTTGGTTCTCCTTTCTTAACACCACCCAAAAAACTCTTCACCCATTTTTTGAGTACACCTAGACTGTCTGCAAAGATTTTAAGTATTTAAACAGCATTATCAAACAACAACAAAAACAGTTTTTGGTAAATTATACTGAAATGGTTACCTGGTCCTATAACACAAAGCTTCATTGCCCCGCCAGTATAACATTCATTGTATAATTCTCTAGCACGTTCACAGAGATCCTCCTTGTTGAGATTCTTTGTTACCTTGAAACAAGAACAAGAGGAAAAGAACTGATTTTTAGCAAAGAAAAAATAAGGAAGTGTATAAAAGATATAAACATCATTAGGTACCACAAGTGAATCGGTTAAAAATGTGTCCTTTCTTGGATGTATAGGCCCTGAGTTCTTCAAGACGGAGACAATCATCTTTCTTGCGTAATTGAAATTCTGGAATAAGAGTTCCAAAATTTTACTTGAAGTAAATGAAAGAATTGGATTGGGTGTGTATATTTGCATCCACAAAAATATTAATGGTATTAGCAAACCTGAATCAACTGCAGATATCTCTCTTTTCATACAATCTGCTTTAAGGAGAGGTTCACAAAAAAACTGTGAAAATCTGAAAGAGAAAGACAATCAACTATAAGAACATCACAATAAAGAAGGGAAAATGAAGGAAACAAATTGAACGTGATCAAAGTTTGCAAGGTTATATTTTTGTAATTCCCAACTATATAAACTAAAGCTTGTTGTACCTATCCAGAGCACCTTCAAGAAACTCGGCCTGAACTTTGAAATAGAAAGTAGTGTGCTCCATGGATGTGTGAGCATTTGATGAGCCTCCATGCTCGCTCAAGAAATTATGAAACTAGAAGAAACAGAATTAAGATTCAAAATAACCAGAGATACGGGACGGGAGTGAAGAACAAGATATTAGAAAATAAACAGAATCAGCAATGTGTTATGATAGGCGTGGAAGTTAATATGTTCCCCTGTATATAGGAGGAGGGAATACCAGTCTCAGAAAAAGCAGGGATTTTTTTAGGGGATATTAAGCTAAAGTCTTTCAACAAACAACAAGTGAATATTCTTTACTATCAATATCAATATATGTAACATGATATTCTTTATTATCAATATATGTAACAACTTTAACTTAGCATCATGTGTAATATATCAGAAACTAAATATTCCGTTAAGGCATGGTAGAAAGTACTTACATCGTTCTGGCCATTATATTTCTCTGAACCCATGAAGAGCATGTGTTCTAGCAGCAATAACAAAAAGAAAAACCTGGAGTAAAGCAATCAAATAATACACAACCATTTTTTTTTTCAGACCAAAACAGAAATCATACCAAGAAAATGTGAAAGTCCCTGAATATCTGGAGGATCGTGGAAGGACCCAACTCTGACTGTCATAGATGCAGCGGCATAAGAGCTAGATTCCCCTTCATCCAATTTTTCTTGAATCAGCAGAGCAGATAAACCATTCTCCAGCTCTATCGCTCTGTACTTCAGATTTCCACTAGGATGTATTACGTCAATTTTTCTCATCTCCTAGAAGAAACAAGAAACGAGACAACCAAATAGTGTTACGTTATAGCCAAGCAAAATCTTATTTCCTGATTATTTATTTAACGAGAAAGATTTCACGGAACGCCGACAAATGTCAATCAATTTCTTATAATGGAACCCACAAAAGGAATTAATAAGTTCTTGATGAGCCAAAAGGATAGGAACCCATAAAGTGTGACACTGTCAGTTTGGGAGAGAAACAACGCTAGAGGACAATTTATGACTTGTCGAGGTTTAAGGGTTTCTTTGGAACAATTTATTTAGGGAAAGAAACAAAAAAAAAACCCACAGATTTTTCTGCTGGAACGAGATGGCTTGACATCAGATCGTGCTGACAGAATCAGCTCCGATGAATTTCCAATTTCACCTTGTATGTAGACTAGAAGAAGGAGAAGCAAAGCAATCGGCGAATAGGATGCAAACTTGTATGTGAGCCCAAAAGTTTACATTTTCAGAGTCTTATCTTCTTTTTAGTAATTTTTAATTGACAATATTGTAAACATCATTAAAAATATCTATCGGGTCACCGCATACGAAACATATATCTCATCATACTAATGTAAATTTCGGACTATACAATATACATGGATATCATTTCTAACTATTATAACAGAAAACGTATTATAACCGCAATAAAGGAACCTACACGATTTAATGAATTGGTTACTACGTTCGGACATTTTATTCGGATTCAAAAATCCAAACTAGAACCGACCTAAAATATATGATGTGAACCTGAACCAAAAATAACAAATGCCTAATTGATTCTAAAATTTATGTATCCAGAAAAACTAAAACTAAAAAGAACCGAGCCGAATATACACTGATCCGAAAAAAACCAATCATGATGGAACATGATAAAAACTGTTTCGTGCCCGATCTAAAAATCAATTCATGCCTAACCTAAAAACATGAATGTATATAGACTTTAACTCTATGTAGACATGGATCTTAATATCCACAGGATCTTGATCTGAGTATAGATTTGGATAGTGATTTAAGAATCACGTGAATCTAGAAATGGATCTAGATAGTAAAATTTTAGGTCTGGATATTCGGATATCTGAATCTATTATATATTTTAAAAATATTAAAATCTAATTATATATATATATATATATATATTATATAAATATATATTAATACTATTAAAACATAAGATCATTTTTTAAAGTGCATTTTTGTTTCAGCATTATTTACAGATTCTACCACTCACATATTTTCAAATTATGATTTTAATTATATTATTATTCCACAAAATGTTTTCTTTCAAACAAACAATATGTTGCTTTATTTATCTATTTCTTCAACTAAATTGTTTAAGTATAAAAAAAAAATAAAGACCAAAATATCACAAATTCAAGTTTTTGTCCCCAAACTAACATTCAAGGTTAAAAGTCACAAAAATAGGTTTCATTAAAGGGATGATTTACCCTTATGACAATTCTTTGACTAATTAAAAAACAATAGATTAATGATGATTTATCCTTATGTCACATTTTTTACTAATTTACTCTAAAACCCTAAACCATGAAACTTCAATTCTAAACCTTAAACTCTGAAACTTTCACTCTAAACCCTAAAATATCAATTATAGAATCTTAAACCTTGACACTTCAAATTTAAACCATAAACCTTAAACACAACAATTCTAAACCCTAATCACTGAAACTTCAACTGTAAACCCTAACCCTGAAACTTCAACTTTAATCCCTAAACCCTGAAATATCAACTCTAAAACCCTAAACTCTGAAACTTCAACTCTAAACCCTAAACCCTAAAATATCAACTCTAAAACCCTAAAACCTGAGATTTCAACTCTAAATCCACAAACATTAACTCTAAAACTTTAAACCCTGAAACTTCAAATCTAAACCCTAAATCATGAAACATCAACTCTAAAACCATAAACCCTGATGTTTTACTTCTAAACCCCTGAAACATCAACTCTAAAAAACTCTAACCCTAAAACTTCAACTCTAATCCCTAAACCCTGAAATATCAACTCTAAAACCCTAAACCCTGAAACTTCAACTCTAAAAAACTCTAACCCTAAAACTTCAACTCTAATCCCTAAACCCTGAAATATCAACTCTAAAACCCTAAACCCTGAAACTTCAACCCTAAATCCTGAAACATCAACTTTAAAACCCTAAAACCTAAAACATCAACTTTCAAAACGCTCCATCTCATCGAGGTTGTCATGGTGCATGTGGTATGAAAGATAACAGTAAGGTAACTACCCATAACTATATGTCCTAAGAATAAGGAACCAGCCAGCACATCCTAATTATCCATGCGGACTCATTTCGACTCGAAAAACGTTTAAAACAAGTCTCATGCAAGCATCGTATAACCATGCTCTGATACCACCTGTACAAGAACCATACCAGCTTAATTGATTTAGCATTTTTTTCAAGCTTAGCGTTCGTGACGGAGATAGTTCGACGGTAGTACAAGACGATGGACGCAGCAACCTTATTCTGTTACAATGAGACATCTTGAAGCTTATGATGCAAAGAAGTAGTTGGGACAACAAGATACCAAGGAAGCACTAAACCGTTAGATGTAGATTTTGGGATTGAGGAAGACTTCGAATGCAGCACTGGAAGAAGATGACTGACGTGGCCCATTGTTCTGAGGATTGCAAGAAGTACTTGGAAGCATACAACATCAAAAAGGATGCATTAAGTCTCTGATTAAGCGCCAAGCATCATTTTGGGAATGTTAGTCCAAGTTAGGCAGATTTCTTTCGAGAGTTCAAGATGGAGTGTTTTCTACCCAAAGCATGGGACCGATTGGAGTTTTAACTTATGGAGTTGGTACAGGGAGATGTTCGCACCAAGATTTCAAAGTCGATTGAATCTGATTCATCCATTATTGTTTGGAGGATGTGCCAACAACCATGAAGATGTTTTATAGGGACTTAGAAAATAATTTTGAGAAAACAAGAGCTTATGGAGTTGTAGAGCTTTGAGGAGATTGTAGAGTGTCACGTGAATGTCAAGGGAGTGGATACTGCAAATGAAGCTTCTTCGATCCATTAAGACCGTTCAAAGGCTATGAGATTCAAATTGAAGGTCAGTTTCAGTAATGGATCAAGAAAGCCAATGGGAATATTTTGGTTGGACGTTTCATCAGATCAAGACCAAGGAACCTGAGTTGTTATGGTTTTAGCTAGCAAGGAAAGTATGGTGATGATTGTTCAAGTATATAAAATCCTCAATCGCTTATGTCATTCACGCTTTGGTGGTGCCAGTATTGAGTACTGAGGTTATCCTAACATGGCCCATGAAGTTACCCGATCTTGTTACCTAAACCTGGATTTATTTTGGGAACTTCGGGTTAGTCGTTTATGTACACATTGTGGCTTCTCGGTTTGGTTTAAGTTACGAGTGATCGACTGTGCATGTTCTTGTTTGATTGTTGCACGGCCAGCTGAGTCAACTTATACTCAGACCAGATCGGGGGTGTCACAAAGGTGGCCCTAAAACCTGAAACTTCAACTCTAAACCCTGAAACATCAACTCTAAAACTTTAAACCCCGAAACTTTAAATCTAAACCCTAAATCCTGAAACATCAACTCTAAAACCATAAACTCTAATGTTTTACTTCTAAACCCCTGAAACATCCTCTAAAAAACTCTAACCCTAAAATTTCAACTCTAATCCCTAAACCCTGAAATATCAACTCTAAAACCCTAAACCCTCAAAACTTCAACTCTAAACCCTAAACCATGAAACATCAATTCCAAAATCCTGAAACTTCAACTCTAAACCCTGAAACATCAACTCTAAAACCTTCAACCCTGGAACTTCAAATCTAAACCCTAAATCCTGAAACATCAACTCTAAAACCTTAAACCCTGATGTTTTACCTCTAAACCCCTCAAACACCAACTCTAAACCCCTAAACCCTGAAACTTCAACTCTAAATCCTGAAACATCAACTCTAAAACCTTAAACCCTGAAACTTCAACTCTAAAACCTTAAACCTTGAAACTTCAACTCTAAACCCTGAACCATCAACTCTAAAACCCTAAACCCTAAAACTTCAACTATAAACCCTACACCCTGAAAATCCAACTCTAAAACCCTAAACTCTGAAACTTCAACTCTAAACCCTGAAACTTCAACTCTAAACCCTAAACCCAGAAAGTCCAACTCTAAAACCCTAAGCCCTGAAACTTCATCTCTAAACTCTGAAACATCAGTTCTAGAATCCTAAATCTTGAAACTTCAACTTTAAACCCTAAACCCTAAAAAATCAATTCTAAACCCTGAAACTTCAACTCTAAACTCTAACCCTGAAATTTCAACTCTAAACCCTAAACACTGAAACATCAACTCTAAAACCCTACACCTTGAAACTTCATCTTTGAATTCTAAACCCTGAAACTTTAAATCTCGAACCCTAAATCTTCAAACTTCAACTTTAAACCTTAAACCCCGAAACTTCAACTCTAAACCATGAAACATCAATTCTAGAACCCTAAACACTGAAACTTCAACTCTAAACTCTAAACCCTGAAACTTCAACTATAAACCATCCTGAAACGTAAAATTTAAACCCTGCATCTAAACTCTAAACCCTCAACTTTAACCCTTAATCCCCAAACTCTATATTTTTCCAAAATTTGAATCTGAAACCCCAAAACCCTTAATAGATTAAAAACTGGATGATATATTAATGTTAATGATAGGTTTCACGGTAATGTATTATAAGATTTGGAAAGCCTTGAGCGTGTTCAGAATGGGCTTCCGGATAATATATTAATCTTCACGATAATGTATTATAAAATTTGGAAAGCCTTGAGCGTGTTCCGGATGGACTTCCAGATAATATATTAATCTTCAGGATAATGTATTATAAAGTTTGGAAAGCATTGAGCGTGTTCAGGATGGGCTTCCAGATAATATATTAATCTTCAGGATAATGTATCATAAAATTTGGAAAGCCTTGAGCGTGTTCAGGATGG